GCCTCACACCCATTCTCATTCCTTCTGAGGTCCTCCCCACAAAATGTTCTATTTTTCCTGAATCACTACTGTAGAGGTTTTACTTTAAATCCCATGCTAGATAATTTTCTCACACTTTAAAAAAGAATATGTACTTTGAAAACAAATTAATATTTATATTGTAAATATATGGAAAAAAAACCCTAAAACCTGTGTTTGACTTTTATTCTTGGATGAGACATTTACATGACTGTTGGATTAGCCATCAGTTTCCATCCTACTCTACAGCAGCCAAGGAGAGAAGCATTTGGCAACCTGAAAGGCTACCAAGCAAGGGAGCTTGACTGGGTGTATCAGCAGCCGCCTCCTGTCATGCTTGGATAGGACACAGCAGGATTGATACTGGTGCTGGAGGGATGGGCAGCACACTAGACAACAGGACGGGAATGTTTGGAGTACAGATCAGGATTTGGCTACACTCCTGTAATCCCAATACTGGGCTTGCAGAGGCTGGAGGATTGCTTCAAGTTTAAAGCCAGCCTGGTCCACATAGTGAGCACCAGGACTACCTAGACCCTGTCTCATTTGGTTTCAGATAATTTCAAGTCTCTCTCTCTCTCTCTCTCTCTCTCTCTATATATATATATATATATATATATATATACACATATATATATAATATTTTTAATTAAAATTCCATTTTGTCCTTTGATGAATTGTAGCTCAGTTATGGAATGCTTGTCTGACATGCATAAAGTCCTGGGTTCAACCCACAGCACATCATGAACAGCTACACACTGTAATCCCAACACAAGGGAGCCAGAAGCAGGAGGATCAGGAGTTCTGACTCATAGTGAGTTTGAGGCCAACATGAGCTACATGTATATCTAAAAAAAAGCAAAGGGAGGGAAGACGGGGAAAGGAAAGGATATTCTGGTGTTCTGATCTTTTTATGGAGTGTATGTGCTTATTAAATCCCAAATACTGTGTGTACTTTCACATCAGAACCACCAGAGGGAGCTTTGGTTAGCATCTGGTTGTTCCTAATCTCGATGACTTTTTTTTTTTTTTTTTAACCTTTTTTGGTTTTTCCAGGTAGAGTTTCTCTGTATTGCTTTGGAGCCTGTCCTGGAACTTGCTCTGTAGCCCAGGCTGGCCTTGAACTCATAGAGATCCGCCTGGCTCTGCCTCCCGAGTGCTGGGATTAAAGGCATGTGCCACCAATGCCTGGCCAATGACTAATTCTTTAAGCATTCCGTTCTTTGTACATATTAGCACTATATGATTAGCAGCCACTGTGTCGGGACAGCACAGATGTAGAATACCCACATCATCACAAAGTGCTATGGAATAGCCCTATTCTGGACTGATGGCAGTTTAGGCTACAAGGGTAAAACTGGAAGAGAGAATGGGATTCAAGGGGAGACATTACAATCAAGTTGTCAGGCCCGCAGGCAAGTGCCTTACATACTAAGCCATCCCACTAGCCCCCAAATCCTACCTTCCCGGTTGCTACCTGACATCTGTCTGGTACTTCTCTCCCTTTCCCCTCTCAGAGTTCTTCTGGTCTGGTAGCCCCACCTATGCTTCCTGCCTGATTACATCCTGCCCGTCCATTGGCCGAAACAGCTTTATACATCAGCCAATCAGAGAAACATATATTCACAGCATACAGAAGGACATCCTCCCCTCCACCCCATCAGTTTTCTCTTTGTTTCTTGGTAGAGGCAAACAGCTGGCTTGAGATTCTGGTTACAGCAGGAATCAGTCAGAGGAGGGAGAATCATTTAATTTGAGGCCAGACCAAGCTTTGCAGCAGATTTGATGCCAGCCTGTTTGGCTGCATAGCAAGCCCCTGTCTTTAAAACAAAAAAGGGGGGGAGTGGCCAGTTTCTAGAGCTAAAGAGGATAGCATTTTGAGGGATGGAGCACTGGGGATCAATGTGCAGTTTTAAAGATTAAAGTACATGAGTAATGACAGTGCAGAATCGTGTTCTAACAGTCCCTGGGAATTAAGATTTGTCAAAAGTTGCTTTTCTTGCAGCTCCAGCTTCCTACAGAATATAACACACTGGGAGTGAAAGAGGCCTGCCCCCAAACCCTGGCCCTTCTAGCTCCCAGTTCTGGTATCTTGGGCACAGAGCTAAATCTGCATGTGCATATTTCCTGGCTTCTATTTCATCTTTTCTATGTTGGAACACTGATATGGGTAAGACAAAAACGGAGACATTTTTCTCTTTTTAAGTATTTTAATTAATTAAAAGATTTCAGTTATTTTACATTCTGATTGTAGTTTTCCTTCCCTCCTCTTCTGTTCCCCTACCCCTGCACCTCCCTTCTACACCCACCCCCTCCCTACTCCTCTTCATCTCCATTCATAAAGGGGCAGACCTCCCATGGTCATCACCAAAGCTTGATACTTCAAGTTGAGGCAGTAACAAGCTTCTCCCCCCCCCCCCAGCATGAAGGCTGGGTGAGGCAATACAACATGTGGAATAGGTTCCCAAAAGCCAGTTCAAGCACCAGACACAGATCCTGATCCCACTACTAAGAACCCGCAAATAGACCAAGACTTACTTTCTTTAGAGATGGGACTCAGGTAACTGAAGCTGGCTCAAATTTGCTGCATAGTTGAGGATGGCCTTGAACTCCTGCTCTGACTGTCCTGATTTCCCATGAATTGAGATTACAGATGTGTACCATCACACCTAACATCTTTTCTCCTGATGTGGGTGAGCATTGCTTTGGGACCAGAGCCCGGCTTGACAGCTGGTGATCCTGTTGACAGTATTACTTGGGAAGAGTGGCTTCTCAGACAGCTCCAGGACATTGCCCCTGAAGAAATTTTCAATTGTTCACCCTGTCTCCTAGAAATTCATATTTGTCCTGACATCAATGTTACTATCTATCTTTTAGGGAAAGACATATATTTGTGGTCTCTGTCTTCGTTTCAGTCCATCTCTGTTTCTCTGTCTCTGCTCTCTTTCTGTTCCCTCCGTGTGTGTGTGTGTGTGTGTGTGTGTGTGTGTGTGTGTGTAAGCCCATGGAGTTTTTATTGTCAGCATTTATTTGTAAATGTAAAACAGAGTTACAGAAAGATGTGTAGGCAGGCATGTGTAGGATTACATGGTGCTTAGAAGCCAACATCAGATACAGTAAATTATCAATTTGTCATTTTTACATAGATGCTTTTTTCATTGTAGGGAGAGGTCCCTTCCTCACCCCCACTGCCGCCACCTTTGGACATAGGTGTAGCTCTGGCTGTTAGGAACTCACTTTGTAGATCAGGCTGGCCTTGAACTCAGAGATCTGCCTACTTCAGCCTCCCTAGTGCTGGGATTAAAGGTGTGCACAGCCACTGCTTCGTGGAACAAATTCTTTTTAAGATCACAAATATCTTTTTTTCTGTGTGCCTTGTCAGATCTTAACCCCAAATTTACTCAAATTTACGCACGTGCGCGCGCATGTGTGTGTGTGTGCACAGGCACACGTGTGTGCATGTGAATTGTATTTGATTAATAAAAAACACTAGTTAGATGCATTCATTAGTCTGACTAGTAACATTTTTCCTTCAGTCTATAGCTCTACTTAAATGAAGATCACTGAGAGAGGCTAGAGCGAGAGGTTTGCTGTGACTTCCAAGCCACCTTGGGCTAGAGTGAGAACCTACCTCAAACAAACATAGCCAGGTGCAGCACATATAGGCAGGCAGATCTCTGTGAGTTCTAGGACAACTAGGAATACATAGACTCTGACTTTAAAAAAAAAATCAGGCTAGGGAGCAAATACCAGTAGGTTATTTTGTCAGTGTTAACAAATGCAGAGTTGCTTTGTTGTTCTTCTTGCGCAGTGTTAGTTTTGGAGATGACTTTCTGTAGTGTAGTGTAGACTGGACTGAGAGCCCAGTGGACACACAGCTGAGACTGGCCCTGGATTGAAGTTCACCCTCTCTCCACTTGCCAACTTCTGGGATTCTAGGTGTGCACTACAGTTGATGTGTGAGCAAATTGAGCCATTCTCCAGGGATACCTTTGTCTAAGAGTTAGCTCTTAAACCCTTTTATCTTAAACAGGAACTTGGTTAAGAGACCAGCCTTTCCTTCCTTCTCCAACAGGAACTTTGTATCAGGACTCCTTTTGTTTTTCAAACTAATTCTCAAGTCTTCATGTCTGAGATTTCATACCTTGTTGAGGCTTTGAATTTGCTTGGTTTTTGTTGTTATCATCTTATTTTATTTTATTTTATTTTTAGACAGAGCTCAAGCTGAGGATGACCTTGAACTTCTTGATCTTCCCGCCTCTACCTCCCCGGTGCTAGGACTACATCATCACACTGATTTTATGTGGTGCTGGGAGTCAGACCCATTCCAGGCAAATGATCCACCTACTACTGAGCTAAGTTCCTAGGTGTGTGTGTGTGTGTGCGCGCGCGCGCGCTATTCTCGTGCTGGAAAGATTGAATGAAGGGAATTGCACATGCTAAGCAAACCCTCTACCATTGAGGAACTGCATACCCTGCCTTTTGATATAGGGCCTCATTAAATCACCCAGGGTGGTCTTTTATTTACTCTATAGCCCTGACAAGCAAGGATTTGCCATCCTTCTGCCTTAACCTCCCAGACAGCTGGAATTACAGTTCTATGCCACAGGGCCCAGCTTTGGTTTTGATGGCTTCCAAATTCCATAACCAATTATTGGGATCATTTGATTGCTCCCCTGCTCTCTAGGACGCCATTCATTACCACCAGAGGAAATGCTAACGTCTGAGAGGGTCTCAGAGTGAAATAGTGGCCTCTTCCCTAATGTGGCTAATATGAAGAGGAAAGGTGACATTAACAAAGTAATCACAACTCCTGTGTAATGATGCTGTGCTTGCTGTGGGGCTCTGAGACAAGGTGGATGAACTGAAGAAGAAATGGTAGATGGGGTTAAGCTGAAGCAGAGCTACTATTGCTCAGCACAGTGCAAGCAGATGGGTAAACACTGAGGTCAGAGTACTCTGGGAAGGCTGGGAAGAGACGGCGCCGCAGATAAACTACAGTTCCCAGGAAGCACTGTGTTCCCATGGACGGAAGTGAGGTAAGGCGCGAGCCGCAACCATTGAGGGAAAAAGGAAGTGCTTGGGCGTCGCAGGGCCGGAGGCGCGGGGATAGGTAGGTAAGGGCGCGGCGTGGGAGTCCGGCGGGCCTGGGCTGCGGGAGCTACGGCAGGCGGGAGCCCTGGGCCCGTGTCGTCATAAGGCGGCAGCCGCCAGCCCGGTGGGCAGCGGGGTGGGCAGAAGGCAGCGGGCGGCCTTGCCACCCGGTAATCAGTCTTCTCCCGGCGTCTCTTCTGCAGAAGGAGCACCATGTCCGCGGAAGTCCCCGAGGCAGCGTCGGCGGAGGAGCAAAAGGTGAGCGTGCGGGATGGCCCGGCCGGCCTGCGGGAGCCAGAAGTGGCGGGAGCGGTGGCTGGCGGGCCTGCGGGAGCGCGGCCTGAAGGAGCCCTGCGCCTGGCTGCCTGGCGACACCACACGAGGCGGTCGGCTCCTCCCGCAGCCAGGGCCCCTGGCGGCTTGGACACCTAACGTTTCTCCCGGTGCCTCGGTTTGTCACCTGAGTGTTTGAGAGAGCCAGGACTCGGGCCCATGCTAGGAACCCGAGTTTTATAGTGATCTTTTATTTGCCTGGGACCTTGTATTTTCCCCGGAAGCGCTCCGACCACTTGTAAGCTTGCAGGTAACTCCTACAGCGGCGTCCACGTTCAGGGGGAGCGATGCAGATCTAGATTAGGATTGCGAGCCGTGTGACCCCATGATCCGTTCCTAAACCCTTTGGACTTCAGTTTGCTCCCGGTAATAGTGTCCACTTCCCACGACGGCCGGGAGGTCCAAACGAGATAACGTAAACCCAGCACACCTTGTGCTCAAGAACATGCTGGCTTGTGGGCTTTGCATGTGGTGTTTGACTAAAATTCGAGAATTGGAGCTTTACAAATTTTCACTAGTCTAATCAGATAGTTCTCGAAATATGGAGGTATTTTGTCAGCTCATTTGTGTTTCTCTGATGAAGGAAAATGCGCTAGCAATCCGTCTAGGAATACGAGGCCTGTGTGTTTATCTGGGCTATTGCCTGGCCATTCTGTTGTGATTAATTATTCGGATGCCTTGCCTTCCTGGGTACATGGAGTCAGTTAACTAAGAAAGGAGAAGAGTCCTTGGTCTCGTTTCCTATTTTGTTTGTGGAGAGTTCCCAACATTTTTTTCTTAAAAATCAAACTGTGCTTTTAATCCCAGCACTTAGGCAAAAATAGGCAGATGTCAGTGAGCTGGGCCAGCTGGAGCTACATAATGAGACCCAGTCTCAATTAATTGATAATTAATAACAAACTGCTAAACTGTAAATGAGTTTTGGTCTAATGTTTAAACTTTCTTACTTAATGTTGCTCTGTAGATTAGTGCTCTGTGCCCATTCCGTGTGTTCTTAGTCATGTTAACTTTTCCTCTGTTATTTCTTCCATAGTTCTGTTCTGATAGTACTTGTAAGTTAACTGTTAAAAAGAAGGAAAACAGATTTAAAAAAAACAAAAAAACAAAAAAAACCCACCACATTACTGGCCCTGTGATACTTTTCAAGAAGAAAGATTTCTTCTTTGCTTTCTTCCTTTTTCCTTCTGCAATAGGACCTCTAGGGGAGCCTAGGCAAGGATTTTACCACTGGGCTCTATTCCTGGGATCCGAGAACAGCAAGCGAGAGAAAGAGGATATGTGTGTGCACATCGAGCACTTTGTTGACTATCCACCCAGCCCCTTTTTGTCTTTTGGGCCAGCTAGAGAGGATGACCCAGAAACTATTGACCTTGTTACCATGCTGGTCCTAGCCTTCTTGTTTTCAGTTTTGATGTGATTTCACTAAGTTACCCAGGCAAGCCTTGAATTTGGTGACCCTCTAGGCTCAGACACCAAGTGGCTCAGGTTACAAGCCTCTGCCATGAGGCCCAGCTGAGCAACGGATTTTTGAAGCCAAAAGAATGCATACAGTTTAAGGATTACAATCTTAGCAGTAATCTTAGATATTACCTGTTCATATTGTAAACTTTGACGTGTTTATAATTGCTTAGGATTTAGGAACTCAAAGCCCATGTCTGTCTTGTCTTAAATACACTGAAATGAATCTCAATTTTAGCTTGATAATGGTGTGGAAGGTAATTTTTTTTTTTAATTTATTGAATGTTGGGGGTTATTTGTATAGAGGTCAGAGAACAGCCTGTAGGAGTCTGTTTTCTCATTCTACCGTGAGAATTCCAGGATTGAATTTGGGTTGTCAGGATTAGTGGCCAGAGGCCTTACTCAAGGACCCATCTTGCTGGCCCTTGTTTAATTATTTTTTCAGGCAGAGGCTCACACCCCGTAGCCCTGGCTGCTTTTGGTTTGAAGTGTTCTCTGGCCTTATGCCTCCCAAATTCAAGGATTACCGTCCAGCTTCCTGTACATCCAGCTAAAATAATTTGGGATGACAAGATTTGTTTGTTTGTTGCCAAAGTTTGAAGTATTGATTTCTAGAGTATAGAATACTTTTGATTAAAATCGCCTAATATACTACCTAATTATCAAGGATAACTTAATGTTTTCTCTTTATGATTTTTTTTCTCCTTAAGCATTTTTTTGTTTTGTTTTTTGTTTCTAGCCCATGTCATTAATACAAATTAGAGGGTATTGGGAATGTAATGTACCTTTTTGAAGATTGGCTGTAGATTTTATGTGCCTGAGGTGCAAACACTCAGGAGGAAAATGTGCAAAGTCACTACTATGTTCTTATGAGCCAAATCACCTGTTTCTTCTATTTGGAAGAACAGTTACATGACCTAAAAAGTTGATTATTGTCTCTGTTCCTGATTGACCTTGTAAATAAAGTCAAAGTATTCAGTAAAAATACTTTTCAGGTTTTATGGTAGGTTAGCTTGTTGTCTTTAAAAGTTTAAGGTAGCTGGACCCTACAAGAAGTAGGCAAGGTTGCTGTTTCTAACCCTCATGAATGTATACAGTAGTATGCAGTCATTCATGAATGGTGTACACTCATGTTAAGAGAAGAAATACACAGACCAATGGAAATTTTAGAAAGCAAAATTTTAAAAAGAAAAGTAAATTAGGCATCTATTTTTTAATTAGAAAATTAAACCTGTGTGAGCCTAAAACTACAAATATTTGTCTCTTAATTTGTATCATTCTTAAACAGAAACACAGCCTATCCGTAGTAAACTATTCATTGTTATAGCAGGTATTGTGCTGAAACTAAATATATTGAGAAAAGGTAACAGCTGTTAAAAGTTAACTATCCCATAGGCCATGTGATTACTAAGTTCTCCTTTTAACATAAGTGAGGTCATTTAACTGTCTAGAACTGAAGATAGCTTACCATTTTAAAATTAGTTCTAGCTAGGCATGGTGGCTTGCACCTAATAATCACAGCAGTCAGGAAGCAGAAGCTGTCCAGTATATAATACAGTGAGCCCATGGAGATAACGGCACGAAAACCTTAACTTTGGCCTAATAAGAACACAATTAAATACATTGTGTTTGTGTGTGTGTGTGTACATGCTGTGGCTTAGGGTATTTTTTTTTTCTTGTTTGTTTTTTTAAGATACCATTAGAAAGTTTTCTAGAGATTATTTTAATCAAACTAAATGTCTCAGAACGACTAGCTGTTTAGAGCTCTCAACTGAAATAATTTTGTTAAAAGAACACCTGGCCAGGCTGAAGAGGTGGCTCAGTTAAAGAGCACTGGGTGCTCTTCTAGAGGATCTGGTTCTATTCCCAGCACCCACATGGTGGCTCACAACTGTCTGTAGCTCCAGTTCTAGAAGATCCAGTGCCGCCTTCTGACCAGTGTGGGCACACAAGTAGTATACAGTCATTCATGAAGACAAGACACAAAGACTTAAAAATAATTATTTTTAAAAGATATGAACTGGGTGTGATGACACATACCTTGAATCCAGCACTCTGGAGACAGAGGTAGGCAGATAGTTCTCTGTGAGTTTAAGGCCAGCCTGGTCTATTTGGTGAGTTCCAAAATAATCAGAGCTATGTAGAGAGACCCTGTCTCAAAAACAAAAAACCCAAAAACACAAAATAAAAAAAGACAGGCCTGGTGGTTTTATGCATGGTGGAAAGGGAAGGAAATGCTTCAGTTCCAATCCACTGCAAGTTCTCTCTCAAAGGCTGCCTAGAGGTGGATGGTTCAGGAGTACCTTGAACAGCCCTGGCTGGGAGTAAGTTTATCTGCCCCGATTATCTGTCACAAAATGAAGTCCAAGCTCTCTAGCCTGCTGATCAACCTTCTTTCATCACATTCTCTTGCTTCATCTCCAGTAAGCCCTCTTCTTGCCCGTTTTATTCTATTCCATTCTCCCGATGCTTCCTTCATCCTCAGACAAAACCTGCTTGCCCAAGTCTTTTGTGTCTAAATTCTACATGCTTTTTTCTTTAATCAGAATTATGCTTAGTTACATGTGACAGGAAAATGAAACTAGTAGTTTAAACAAGACAGAAGTTAGATATTTTTTTCTCTTGGCAAAGAAGCACAAAAAGCTAGCCCAGGCCTTGGATAGTGGGTCTAAGGTATTCAGGACTTACGTCCTTGGTTGCTGAGGTCTGTAGCACCTCAGCTCTTAATGCAGTATGGCTGCCCCAGTTTCAGAAATCTTCTGTTTGTTTGGCTTTTCGAGACAGGGTTTCTGGGTATTGTTTTGGAACCAGTCCTGGCACTTGCCCTGTAGAACAGGCTGGCCTCAAACTCACAGAGATCCTCCTGCCTCTGCCTCCTGAGTGCTTGGATTAAAGGCATGTGCCACCAACGTCTGGCCCAGTTTCATAAATCTTAAGCTCATTAAACCACAAGAAAGGACACAGGACAAAAAATGTATTTCCTCCTTCATGGGAGGGAGGCTTCTTAAATCTTACACATAACACTTATCTCTTATTGGTTGCTTGTTGTTTTAATGTGTATGGGTGTTTTGTCTGCATGCATGTATATGTAAATGTGTGCTGTTTGGTACTCTGGAAGGTCAGAAGAGTGCATCAGATATCAGATCCCCCTGGGACTGGAGTTACAGATCATTGTGAGCCACCATGTAAGTGCTGGGAGTTGAATCCAGGTCCTCTGGAAGAGCAGCCACTGATTTAACTACAAAGCCATCTCTCCAGCCCCACTCTGATGTCTTCAATGACAAAACTTGCCTAATACATTTTCCTGAACATCCCTAATCATGTGCATGACATGAGTGTTTCCTTATATCAGTTTTGAACAGCTGTGTATTGCTTCTCCTCCCCCCCCCCCCATTTTAAAAAATTCTAGTTAATCTTTAATTTTTGGAGCTATTTTGTCATACCTTCTATCACTGGTAGACTTACTA